GTTTTTGGGGTGTTTTTGTGTAGAAAATTGGGGGGGGGGGGGGTTGTCATATCCAATTATATGGATATGACAAATTATAGCGCGATGGAGGCATTGCCTCCGCTCACGTGACTTTTCCCCATTCATCTCAATGAGCCTCCAGAAAAGTCGCACGCTTTAGAGTCTCTGTAGAAAGTCTATGGATACCTGCGGGTATCGCTGTTGGACAGTGTTACTTCAAAAGTCTAAAAGTCACTCGTTTTTATAATGTCATATTTAGTCATTAGCGTTTTTATTTTTGTAATATCGATTATTTTCTCATCCACTTTTGAGGAGAGGAGACCTTGCCTCGGAGGAGGAAATGCCCCTTATATATACATTGTCATTGTCGCTTGAAAGTTTATGAACCCTTTAGAATTTTCTACAAACCCGATTCCAAAAAAGTTGGGACAATGTACAAATTGTGAATAAAAACAGAATGCAATGATGTGGAAGTTTCAAATTTCAATATTTCATTCAGAATACAACAGATGACATATCAAATGTTTAAACTGAGAAAATGTATCATTTTAAGGGAAAAATAAGTTGATTTTAAATTTCATGGCATCAATACATCTCAAAAAAGTTGGGACAAGGCCATGTTTACCACTGTGTGGCATCCCCTCTTCTTTTTATAACAGTCTGCAAACTACTCTGAGAGGCTCTTTTTATACCCAATCATGTTGCCAATTGACCTAATAAGTTGCAAATTGGTCCTCCAGCTGTTCCTTATATGTACATTTAACTTTTCCGGCCTCTTATTGCTACCTGTCCCAACTTTTTTGGAATGTGTAGCTCTCATGAAATCCAAAATGAGCCAATATTTGGCATGACCTTTCAAAATGTCTCACTTTCAACATTTGATATATTATCTATATTCTATTGTGAATAAAATATAAGTTTATGAGATTTGTAAATTATTCCATTCCTTTTTTTACTCACAATTTGTACAGTGTCCCAACTTTTTTGGAATTGGGTTTGTATATTTCTGCATAAATATGTCACAAAACATTATCAAAATTTCAAGTCCTAAAAGTAGACAAAGAGAACCCAAACAAACAAGTGAGACAAAAATATGTTCCTTGTCATTTATTTAGGAAAATGACACCAATGTTACATCTCTGTGAGTGGCAAAGGTATGTGAACCTCTAGGATTGGCAGTTAATTTGAAGGTGAAATTAGTCTTTCAGAGTTTGTTTTCAATCAGTGAAATAACTATCAGGTGTCAGTGCGTGCCCTGTTTTATTTAAAGAACAGGGATCAAAGTCTGATCATGTTTGTGGAAGTGTATCAAGCCATGAACAAAGGAGATCTCGGAGGACCTCAGAAAAAGAGTTGCTGTTGCTCATTAGGCTAGAAAAAGTTACAAAAACATCTCAAGTGTTTTGACTCCACAAATCCACAGTCGGACAGATTGTGTACAAATGAGGAAATTCAAGACCACCGTTACCCTCCCCAGGAGTGATTGACCAACAAAGATCACTCCGAAAGCAAGACGTGTAATAGTCTGCAAGGTTGCAAAGGAACCCAGGGTAACTTTTAGCAACTAAAGCTTTCTCACATTGGCTAATGTTCATGAGTCCACCATCAGGAGAACACTGAACAACCACGGCGTGCATGGTGCATCCGAAAAGAACATTGCTGCCCATCTGCAGTTTGCTAAAGATCATGTGGACAAGCCAGAGGGCTACTGGAGAAATGGTTTGTGAACAAATGATGCCAAAATATAACTTTTTGGTTTAAATGAGAAGTGTTATGTTTGAAGAAAAGAACACACTGCATTCCAGCATAAGAACTTTATACCATCTGTGAAAGATGGTGGTGGTATCATGGTTTGGGCCTGTTTTGCTGCATCTGGACCAGGACAGTTTGCCATCATTGATGGAACAATGAAGTATAATTATATCAGGACATCTGTCTGAACTAATTCTCAAGAGAAAGTGGGTCATGCAGCAAGACAACGACCCCAAGCACACAAGATGTTCTACCAAAGAATGGTTAAAGAAGAACAAAGCGAATGTTTCGTAATGGTCAAGTCAAAGCCCGGACCTTAATCCAATTGAAATTGTGGCAGGAGTTGAAGCAAGCAGTTCATAGGAGGAAACCCACCAACATCACAGAGCTGAAGAGGTTCTGTACTGAGGAATGGAGGCACAAGATGTTGTGCAGGACTGATCAGCAGTTACAAGAAACATTACCTGCAGTTATTGGTGCAAAAGGGGGTCAGACCAGATACTGAAAGCTGTTGCCACTCACAGATATGCAACACTGGATCATTTTTCTTAGTAAATAAATAAATGGCAAAGAAAATATTTTTGTCTTATTTGTTTGTTTGGGTTCTCTTTGTCTACTTTCAGGACTTGTGTGAAACTGATTATGTTTTGAGTGATATTTATGCAGAAATATAGAAAATTCTAATGGGTTCACAAACTTTGAAGCAGCACGGTATATATACATATTTGGCAGCTGTTACAGAAACATTTTTACAATAAATATTCAGATTTGACCTTGAGATTAAATGGCTTCAATATTTGACCACTATTTATGATAATACTTGGTTACAATGACACGAATAGTTCTTATTTCTGCCAGGAATGCAAAATCAACCTGGAGTTAATGATATTTTGAATAGAATAACGAGACATAAACCTGTACATATTCAATCGCGTTTGCATCCATTTAATCTTGATCAGTGCTTCGCTACACAACATACAAACTTTTACTTCAAAAGTGCGCACATTATGTATTCACACGATTACTTCACATTTATTTAATCGGAATATAGAACCATATTTACTTAATGACTCGCAGAAAGACGATTCTCTTCCGATCCAGTCAATATTGCGTGATCATAATTCCCAAATTACGGTGACTGTAAACTTCTACATTCTGTCTCCTAATGTATTTATTCGTCAGTCTATGGTATACAATATCTGCATTAGGTCCCAGTAGAGTGAGTTTTGAGCAAAAACATTATGTATTAATCTCATACTGTCACTCTGAAATGGACAAATGGCTTGCACTGAATTTTTGAAAAGCCCTGCTTGGATTGAGGCCCGTGAAGCAGGATCACGAAACCCAGACCATCTCTATTAAGCGGGGGCGTTGGCCGTTAAAGTCCATTTCTGATTTTATTGTCAGGGGGTAAAATCGCTGTTTTTGAAATAACTAAGCCTCATTGCTTGTAGAGAGAGGCGCGCAGACGCAGGTTCTCACACGCAACTTTCATCCTCTCTCTCTCTCTCTCACTCTCAATTCAATTAAGCTTAATTAGCATGACTGTGTAACACAATGTTGCCAAAGCATTAACATATATATATATATATATATATATATATACATCTAACATTGTGAATGGTTAATACATATTTAGCAGCTAGTGCAGCTGTGTTGTCATCAAGTAAAAAGGGCATTTTCTCAGTATCACTAAGTTCAGTAAATGATGGGATCAGGGCTTCAAATCTGGGGAGAAATGTTCCCCTCACATTGTGATATTTAGGACAAATCAGCAGAAAGTGTTTCTCGTTCTCTATTTGCTGTAGATCACAGTTTCTACAGATTCTCTGCTCTTGCTCTGTCCATGTTTGTCTATGTCTTCCTCTCTCTATTTCTAAATCATGGTAACTAAATCTGTATTTGGAGAGGATTTGTCTTTCTTTAAATGGTTTATTCAATAAATAATTGCCAAATTTAGTGGTTCTGTTTAGGGTTGAGTAGCATTGGAGTTTATTTTGGAGGTCAAAGTGTATTTTTAGAGATTCATCATGAGTGTCTTTTAGATTTTTGTCAATTTCTTTAATAATCTTTCTAGCTTGTACTTATTTGAACAATGTCTAAGAACTTGGTATTACAACCACTTCTTGTGTCTGTTTGCCTCTCTTAAGAAGAATCGCTTTATGTATCCCCCAATTGTAAGTCGCTTTGGATAAAAGCGTCTGCTAAATGACTAAATGTAAATGTAAATGTAAATGTAAATAATGGCTTTGGGGTTGAAGCTGTAGTCAGTGAGGAGCTGGGTTTTATGGACTAACTGAAGAGCGAGTGTGTTTAGAGGATGAGTCTCTCTCTCTCTCAGGGTTTCTGCAGGATTTTTAAGCTCAAATTTAAGACCTTTTTAAGACCTGCACAAATAAAATTAATACCATATGAGCGGGGTAGGGCAATGTCTATAGTACCATATTAAACCGTAAAATTACTGTAAAAAGCATAATTTACAGTTCAGATACAAGTTTACACAAAAACAAAATGTTATAAAATGATAAACTTTACATTTCAGCCTTTAAACCATTTTTAAGAAAATGGAGGAGTCAAAAGTATTAATTATTATATTAATTTAAACAATTATGATAAAAAAATTATTATATCAATGAAATAACATAAATTAGGGGTGTGCGATATTGACAAAAAATTGTATCTCGATTAATATAAGATATATCACAATAATTAGACAATATTTTGCTATAGAGTGTGTTATTGTGCTGATATCTTATCTCTAATTGTGCTGACAGCTGACTCCTGAATTTTTTTTGATAATCTTCATATGCTGTGTGGTCAGTTCACAGCTGTAATAGAAATTAATTAAACTTCCAAGTTACAAGTTTTATAGGCATTTTTACCTTTTAAGCCATTTTTTCTAAAAGTGTGCACCATCTTTTGAGTCAAATTCTTGCATTTGGGCTGTTACCAAGCAAATGAAATCGGTATCAACAAAATTGATCTTTGCAATGCAGAGGAAACACAGAAGCTGCATTAGAAGTGGCATTTAGATGTATTTACACACTGTTTAATGCAGCTCTGAGGGACATGGAATACTTTAACCTGCAGTTACAAATGCATGAATAATGTTTTGATATTTTAAACATAAAACATTGAAAACTGATGTTTGAAATTATTAAAAAAATGAAAAGGTACCTTAAATATGAAATTAAAACCGCCAGGTGGCAGCAAGTCACTGTTAAGTGAGTCATTACGATTGAACCGAATCATTTAAACAGTTGATTCATTCAGGAACAAAACATCACCATTTTGCTCAGAGACGCAAAATAGCACTGTGGCTGTGTTTGGAATGATTTTTGTTGGAGACATAGAGCAAAAACAGGAAATATGATGTCTAAAACGTAAGTCTCTTAATATTAACTACTTGTTTATTGAACTGTTGTATAAAATGCATTTTTCTAAATGCATTTTAATAGACCGATTAATGCAGTGAAAAAATGCAATATAAATGCGCGCACTCACTAGTCTAACCTACTAGACTTCATAATCTAATGTATGCGTGCACTCTGTAGGTGTTTTGTTTTGCTTTTCGCGAGATACTCGATAATATCACATCGCACACCCCTATACTGTTTAGATTTTTATAATGCATTGTCGTCTTATCAATCCACCAGTTCACATTTAAAGCTCTGCGTGTTTGCGGGGTAAAAACATGGGTCGGTTTTTGCATTGGTCTGAACTCTGAACAAAACAACAGTTTTTTTTTTGTTGAAAATGCTCATTCATTCTCTGCCAGCAGGTGGAGCGTTTGGTAGAAATATAACCATTTCCCCGGTAACGCTGTACACAAAGCAGCGGACTTTGAACGTGCAGTGCTCGTTTATAGCCTTTTGAAGTTTAATCATCACATTCAGCCATATCGCAATTCTGGTCTTTCCGTCCCCAAATTTAAGACCTCTTGAAATCATAATTAAGACTTTCTTGTAAAATGTAAGGCTTTTTAAGGCTTTAAATTTGATACAACTAGATTTAAGACTTTTATTAAGACCCGCGGAAACCCTGAGATCTATCATAATCTTTTTTGTTTTTGTTTTAGGCAATGAATAAATATGGAGTTCGTTACCCTGGACCTGAGAGTGCAGCACGTCGTTCTAAACTCAGTGGCCCTGAACTTCTTTGTCAAATCAAGAAGATGGTTCAGATTGCAACTTTAACACCAGATATGGAGCCATTTTCTGGGTTTCCTTGGGCCTCTCAGTTACCTCTGCGGCAAATAACTGCTGATATCGGCCCATTTAAGACCTGCGCAGTGGTATCGTCTGCAGGTTCTCTCAAAAACTCTGGATTAGGAAAGGAAATAGGTAATACCTAAATTTATAACATAAGCAGTACCTACAGTCGTGGTCAGAATTATTGGCACTCTTGGTAAATATGATCAAAGAAGGCTGTGGAAATCAGAGGCGGACAAAGTACTCAACTCTATTACTTGAGTGAAAGTACAGATACTGCTGGTCAAATATTACTCCATTACAAGTAAAAGTTGTAAAGACAGATTTTTACTTAAGTAAAAGTACAGAAGTACTTGCTTTTAAAAGTACTTAAGTACCAAAAGTACATTTCCTTTTTTATGTCCATGCACGTTTTATTGTTTATTGTACGTGCATGTTTTATTGTAGTACGTAATACTTGCAATACTTCTGATGCAACCTAGAATACATTACACCTACTAGCTTATAGTATCTTTGGAATAAAGAGCTTTTAGAATGTTAAAAACCTATGGGGGAAAAAATTAACACCCCTACCCACCCCCACAAAAGCAGGATGGTAGTGATCTCACACAGCTCTGACAGTGTGTGTGCACACATCTATGTGTAACCATTTGTCCACATTTGAACA